AAAATAACAGTTTGTTGAACGACATTATACACGATTCGTCTGGATCCTCGCGAAGACGCGCGACGAAACTGGGATACACGGTGGGCCAGCGTGAGAGATTTATAATCTTTATTACTTGGCAGCTTCGTTATTTGCGCAAGACGCGATAACAAGACCGATGCACCGTGTTATATTCGCCGCATTAACTATATAATTTAATATCTCGCATTTATCTTTCACACAAGCTTTGAAGCGCACCGCGATCGTCTTAACTTATATCAGTGTTTGAAACGTTATATATATATATATATATATATATATATACTCCCTAAATTTTCTGGAGTAAATTTTCACTCCTTTGGAGTGAATCTCACTCCAAAAGAGTGAAAATATTGTCAAATATTGTCACTCGAGTAGCCAAGTGGCAGTATTTTCAATCTTTTGGAGTTGAGATTCACTCCAGAAAATTTAGCGAGATATAAAATAAAAAGATTTTTATTTTTAAAATAATCTTTAAAATATAACATGTTATATATGTATATTTATTTACTTATCTATATTATTTATATATAAAAATATTGAAAGTTCTTTATAACGCGGTTAAATGTTTAGGTTGAAAAATGCGATTTTGAAAATTTCCGAATCAATATTATCATTTTAGAGCGTTTACTGATAATCGCTGGAATAGACAAATCGAGAGGCATCCTCAAATGAATTGCCTGATAAAGTAGCATTAATTTTCCAACAGTATCGTTGCACGCATTAACGTAATTGTTTGATTCAACAATTATATTGCACTGCAAACCAGCAATGCAATTAATGTAGCATATAAATCGGGCAATTAATTAAAACAAAGATCGGTCTCATCAGTTATGTAGCCAATGTTTATCCGGATAGCTTTTATTAAAGCGCCGGCTGCAGTCCACGTAATTGTACAGGACACGTTGCACGTTAATGTGACTCGCGTCTCACACGTGTTTGAAGATCCAGCACACTTCCGGTCACGAGCGACTCATGCATGTGCTTGAAAAAGTTTCAATCAATAAATTTCAATCAATTCAATAAAGAAAAGCAAAAATTTTGGAAATTACGTTTTACTATTAAATTAAGACTGTTACAATTTAAGATTTTACATATCACATAATATGATATACGTAAAGAAAATATTTACGTATAAAAAATTTTTATATTGAAAGATATATGTTCACGTCGCAAATTCTATTCCTTTCGTAGATGTTTCTACTTCCATATGTCTGAATGCAAATAGTAATAAAAATATTTAACCTGCACAATCTATTTAAATATTATATAAAAATATATAACAAAAGTACCCTTAACTTTTAATTTGAGTAAAGTTGAAGTTAATAAGTAAAGGAGATGGCTAGCAATGGCTGAATATAAACTGGAATTGTTTGTAGGCGGAGATCCATGTCGGAAATCGGATTTAAATGAATAGAAGAACACTATTATTATTCCGTGATAGCGAAACGATACCTTGACATACGTATTTACAAAGTTACCTTGCGCATCTCATTGAGTAATCAATTTCACGAAGTGCCCTTCAGCGGATATCAGATGTATTGTGCTATTAAACAAAATATTCTACCAAGGACGCAAACCCGCGTTGAAAATCAGATTACAAGTCTAACGCGACCTTGCGTGGGATGGACCGCCTGTTGCATTTAATGCACCGTGTACCGCTGACTGCCTCTTGCAAATTTTCGTTTTTCAAACGTAAAAATGTATAATATTTCGCATTTATTCACTGATACCATTTTTAATAGCTACACGCGAATTATTAATTTTGCGATCGAATCAGTCAAATTAAATCAATTAAATTTTTTCCCAAAATTCTATTAAACAGCGGTATATCGTAACATTTTCACGTAAAAGTGTTATTTTCTTTACTTCAGATTTTAGTTAGATTTTAATTCCATTTTATCAATTTATTTTAATTACATTATATCAATTTATTTTAATTATATTACATCTTTATATTAATTAATAATGTTGATCAAATAAATACACATATTTATATAAATTTTCTGTAATCTCCCTCCCTTAATAAATTATAAATTCATTTAACTAAATTCAATTTAAAAAATTCTAAGGAACATTGATTTAAACAATGACTTTCATTATCAAACTCACATCGTAATATAAAATTTATTAACGGCGCGTACTTTTTAATAACAATTTCTAAACTTTACTTGGGAATAAAGATACGTGTTTAATCGTAAATTCATCTTTCGTAATATTATGCAAGCCTACAAACCGACTGTTTTCCGTAACAATTCGTCACAATTTGGTATTCAAACCAATTTCCGGTGTTTAACGAAAAGCGATTATGAAGTCGGGAGTGGAAATTTAATGAAAACAACAGGCCGGAGACGGCGTACTTGGGCCGAACGAGCAAGAGCTCGCTGGAGCGAAGGTGTTGTTCAATCGGAGCGAATAAACGAGCGGGGGTGTTTGTTTACAAGATGCAAGGACGAATCGCAGTTCCGACGCATATCGGTGCAGCATTTGCTTTCTTCGTCGTGACTCGAGAGATCGATCGATGCTGTCCATTATCCTAGTCCAGAATATTTCTTTCCAAAAAAATTAATTTGCCTATATTTAATCTTTTTTTTCGGAAATTGAGAAAATTGTCTTCACGCTCATATTAAAGATTTAAAAAATATTAAAATATACACACTACATTCTACGGAAAACTAAATAAAATTCTTAGGAGAAACGTGCAGCTAACCAATGTTGCTATGCAGAAGAATCTTTAGAATTTTTGTTACAAATTAATTATAACTAAGCAGAAAATATTAATTAAGGATATTTAGTTTTTTCGTCTCCTAGAGAACTGCATTTTATGAAATATCAATCTTTTCTCGCACTCGATCATGTCAATAAAATATACTTACATTGACTAGTATTTGTAGCGCCTCTACGTAGGATCGTTCCGTATCGTAAAGCTCCACAACCACGTGAGTCCTCGTGTCCTGCAACGCGCAACGAGAACAATTAGAAAAGATGAGTATTGGTTGAGTGACATTACGAGAGAGGGAAATGTTTGATCGAGACGGAGAAAGAGAGGGAGGCGACCGAGCACAGCTGTCACAGCTCCGATTATTGTGCATCGTCTCGTGATGAAGATCGCACGTGCGCTTACGAAAGGCGTACACGTGCGACGCTTCACGTGCGTATGTAACGATGCGTTTGATTATGGTCGTTATGCAACATTGACAACAAGCCGCGCAAGGTGATGAGACCTGTGTCGGGCATTGGAATCCACGATGCAAGATGCCAATGAAAAGACGAAGTACTTTAACCCTGGATGACTAATGTATGACATAACGAACGGGCTTTCAATTCATTTCAAAATCTTTCAAAGAATTTTTTATCTTCATCATTAGATCTCCTCTTTTCAACTGTACTTTTTACGTTTATTTTTTTCTATACTTTTTAAATCCCACTTCTTTGCTTTACAAACAGAGATAAAAATGTTGTATTAAATATACTTACAAATCGAGAAACAAATATTCCTCTACATATATATGTATTTTTTTTTACAAAAAACACATTTTGTAATTACAATTCAAAAATAGAAAAAGACTAAATATGATATGATAAAGAAAAAAAGAGATCTGATTTTATATCTGACTTTCGAATGCGACACTTAAGAGATTATTTTATAAGTACTTTTGCAGCGTAGTACGTCAAAAGTTTACTTGACGTTTACTCAAGGCGCTCGGAATGCTTTTTCATTCAGAATTAGCTGTGCCTAGTCTATAAACATCAAAAACAAGAACTACCCACGCGGTCGGAGATGACGCGTTCGTTATTCTCGCTGTCCACCGATGACCGACTGATGAGCTTGCGATCAGCGTCCATTGTTATCCACCACGTAGGCCACCTGTACTGAGATTTCGTGGGCATCGGCGCCCTCCACTCGCATAGCAATCCGTGGGGAACGTGCGGAAAGTGCGTAGTTTCGCAACCTTCCGAAACCGATGCACCGCGAAGCGCGCGGGCGTCCGACAGTGGAATATGCACTCGCGTCTCGCGCGTTTCCGGTCTCTCACTTTAATCTATTCCGCTTGGCGGAAACGCCGGGGCGAAGCCAAAGTAGAGCTCTTAAGCTTCCGCACGTAAAAGCTGCTCTCAAACGTTTTATTCTTGGACTCTTCCTACGAGCTTCAAGTCGATCGCGCTCAAACACTTCTCAACTCGGCAAAGTGAACTGCACCGATGAAGCAGCAATTAGTGTAATTTGTATCTTCGCTATCGAATTTTACAAATATCGTAAATTTTATAAAAAATAAAATATAGTGTTTTTACTGCATATTTATTAAATTTAAATTGTGTTAATAATGTAACATCGCAGAAAATTATCGTTATAAAAAAAAATTTGCGGTATTCTCTCTAATTAGTTATTGCGAGTAACTAGCATTGCAAGAGTTTTGTCGCATATTTCCGTTTCTTCATCCACTCTGTGTCTATTTCTTCACTTTCAGCATAGGACTTCTGAGATAATTAATAATTTTCGTAGAATTTCCATGGCAAAGAGTTTTCAAGAAACCAATACAAAAATAAAATAAATAATAAAAATAGGAATGTTTATATATTTTCTTAATCTGTATCGATTGTCACGATACTCGCCTTCACAAATCTTTTTCGCGCGTATTATTCTTTCATTTTAAATACGTAAATCGCGAAATAACATGATTTTCGCGATATTTCCAACAGTGTCATTTTTTCATGAAAAAAACCAGTATTAAAAAAGAGAATATACACTTTGAACCTGAATATCAATCACCGCGAGCGATCGGTATAGCGAAAGTTGCGCAAGTTCCGGCTCGGAGGTAAATAGAAAAAAGCTTGACTGTCCATCGACGCTCGTACGTCGTATCGGAAATCGGCGCGCGTGTCAGAGAGGAAAAAAAGCCCCGTGTCTCTCGGCGTGTCTGCACGCCTACTCTCGACACGCTCGGACAGCGCCTCTTTAAAAGCTCGTGGGAATTTGCACGCGGAGCTTTCGCGCCTCCGGACGATCGCGCGTCGAACGCGTCGAACGCGTCATGTACGAACGGACCGACCGGCCGGCCTGTTATATTTAGCACCGTGACTAAAGACCTTCCCCGCTTCATCCCGCGAGCTTGCAAGCTCATCCACGGCGCTCTTTCTGTCCCTCTCCCCCCCTTTTCACGCTCCGATCTTTCTCCGTTCCATCGGCTCGTGCCCGGTTAGAGAATCGATAATGACCCCTTGATCCCGTTGTGCGAATATAATGATCCGTTGCGCGATCGCTTAATTACGCGAGTTTCCTTTACTAATTAATCGCGGAGTTATATCACAAACCTTCGCCTTCTATGCGTCCTTGCGCCTATAAAATTCGATTGCACTAACGTTTATTTTTACTTTTATTTTAACTTTAAACGAAGCTTAAAACTCTGTTTGCCTCTCTTTAAAACGTTGGAGTTAAGAGAGAGAGAGAGAGAGAGAGAATTTTAAGGTTTACTTAAAGTTAAAATGACGTTGGTCAAGCCAAAATAGCCTTCATCTTGATGTTAAGGAGTTGAAAATACGTAATTAAAATTTTTCAAACTGGAAAATCATATAAGCTCCCTACGAAGAATATACGCTCCTTCATCTGCATACAATTCGTATTATTTATTAAAATTTAAAATAAAAGTGCGCGTTGTGCGCGTTTAAATTCCATTATCCCTCGTAAAAAAAGAAAAAAAAACAAATTATCTAACAACGCATTGACAGTTGCAATTGACTTTATTACGCGACTGTAATTTTATTATATAAGTTAACTCTATTGCGCAAGCACTTAGTTTTATACTATGTATACGCAAGATAGATACTGAATACGCCAGACAGAACAGTTTGTTAATCAACTCTTTCGTGACAATTACGCGCGTTGTGAAATCTGATAGACCATTGTTCTGCAAAATTACGCTTTCTAATTAGAATAGAAGTTATACGTTTAACATCGTTGTTGATAATCATTATTTAAGGTACAAATTGTGGAAAGTGTGGAAATCTGTTTGTCTCGTTATTATGTAGAAGATCAATCAGTTTTGGTAAACAACACGTATCTTCAAACAGACGTAGGAGATAAATTCGTGCAATAAGACGAGATTCGATTTGCGATTCATTTACGGAGTCTCCAGCCAAGGTCGGGAAGAGATGTTCTCGCGACGTGGTCGTGACATTGAGAAGAGGAAACGCACATTTCCTGATACTGAAACGTATCGAAGGAGAGAAATCATGGTCCCGACGTTCGGACGCGACGTTTTGGCGATTCTTCGATCAGACTCGCGTGATGAGTTCTAATTATTTTCAGAGAAACATATATCATGTACCACACAAGGGGCAGCACAACAATATCCTAATAGAAACACGAAATATAAAAGCAGGATATCTTGAGATATGTATGAAAGATTGAATTAAGCTTGTCTGACAAAGGGATCAAAGCTGATTTTCAAGCGTAACTTTCCAGTGGCACAAAGTGATCGACATTACTCGATTAACTCGTAGATACGTGCGCGGAATAATTAAGAGGTTCCCTCAGCAACACTCAATAACTGAGAAAAATCATTATCTTTTCATGATTCTACAATGTCTCAATAACATTTTTTACAAATACCTATCATTCTTTTCATAGCCACTAAATATAAATAATAAAAGAAAGTATAACCATTTCCTGATAGAAGAAAATGTAAAAATTTAGAATCAAATTAAAATACGCGTGTAATGATGTTATTAACATAATTACGCGTTATAATTTGATTCTGAATTTATAAGTCATTAAAAATTTGAAAGTTTTACGAGCTATTAAAAATTTAGAAAGTTTTACGAATCAATGGTGAAAATCCAAGTCTTTTATTCTGCTTGTAAAATTATAAATATTTAATTTATAAATATTTAATGCAAAATAAATCTTTTTTCTATTGATTGTATCATAAAAAGAGAACCTGTCTCAAATTAAAGAAATTTGAAGGAAGGTAAAAAAAACCGATATGACAATCGATCACTCAATATAATGAAGCACAAACATGTTGGATCGTTAAGAGCCTGACCGCACGCGTGTAGCCGTGTATGTGCTTAAACAAGTTAAAAAACGTTCACGTACTTACAGATACTTATCCATACGCCTTCCTGTCGCCCTAGAGTGCCACGCGATCGCAAGTAAACACTTTCAACGTGAGTTTGCACGTCGACGAGAGGCTCGAATGAAATTACAACCTGTTACACATGACGGAGGCGTCGCGACGCGCCAGTAATTGCGCTCGGTCGCCCGCGCTACTTCAATTCTTGCCGAGAGAAAAAGAGAGAGAGAGAGAGAGAGAGAGAGAGGAAATAAAAAAAGAATGTAAATCGAAGCGGAGCGGTACCTAGACCTTGTTTGACAGCCGTATCTTGTACATACACAACTCGCTGCGGTCGTTATTTCAACCTAACGAAACAAACGGATGGCACGAGATGATATAACGCCGCACAAGCAAATCGAGGGATGATATAACGCAAAGCGATTACCTCGATCGAGGATCGATTCGAACGAAGGTAATCGTCGCTTCTGTTCGCGAGTAACAATAGACGCATTGTCGAATTCTAACAAACGCGCGTGATTCGCTTTATTTCCTCTTCCCACCGAATTCTCCGCCGTAAATAAAATGCCGGACGCCGGTAACCTCGCGATCCGATATTTTTAGACTACTCTTATTTACGAAAGGTATTTAATGCGAGAAAGTGTATTTACATATTTAACTTCAATTTGAGCCAATGCTCTAGTGCCCTATTATGTAATTATTATAGCAAGCTGCTCCTAACACAGACGTATTGTTTTATTGTCAAAAATAAACTTGCTATCTATTAATTTATCTGTAAGTCAATTTATTTCGAACACTCAATTCGATGGAAATGCCATCCTCCTTTCTAATCCCAACACAAAATAAGTGGCGTGCGAAATAAAGGTCGCCAAAACAGTTCG